CCCAAATGCTGGGATTATAGGTGCGCCACCACCCGGCAGCAACTCTACAAGTTTTGAAGAACCGCCACATTTCCAATTTTCCTCAACAGCTGCACCATTTCATGGAGTCTCTTGTCTCTCCACATCCTCAACAATATTTGCAATTGTATGCTTTTTAAATTTTGTTTTTGTGTACTGGGGATTGAACCTAAGGCCTCGCATAAGCACTTTAACACTGAGACCCGTCCTAGTTTTCATTTTGAGACAGGGTCTTGCTAGGTTGCACAGGCTGCGCTTGCACTTATGATCCTCCTGCCTCAGCCTCTCAGCAGCTGGGATTGCAGGTGTGCACTGTTGTCTCTAGCGCTACGGTCCATCTTTTTGATTACAGTTATCCTAGCATGGGACTTATCTTTGTTTGAGCTACCATTTTTAGAGATGAATTCCTATATTTGTAGGTCTCCATCCTGTCTGTCCAACATTCCTTACCATGCTGGCTCAGGCAACATTTCCTCTGGAAGAAGTGCCTGTGTCCACTGTGGTCACTGCCAAGTCACCAGAGAATCTTCCTTGGTCTCCTCAGTAAGTGGAAACTGTTCTCTGGGACTGAGTCTTGTGGTGTTTTTCAAGATTTGGGAATGAAAAGTTTTCCTTCCCACAATCCCAGTTCCAGAGAACACAGTACAGAAGTGCTTCTCTGTGGCCAGGGCTCACAGCTCACTCAACCCCTCGCTCGGTGCTCAGACCTCAGACCTTGGACTGACCTCTGGCCAAGGCTTCATGGAAACCTTAGATTACTCTCCTTTGTTCTGTGCTCTCATCATCCCAGAGGGCACGGCCTCCGAGTAGGGCCACAGAGCCAAGGGCACTGGCTCAGGCAGATGTGCGAGAGACCTGGGGCAGGTTGTCCCTCCTTGGGAGACCCCCAATCTCCTGGAACTGAGGCAGCGAGCTATGGTTCAGGGCAAGGACTCTGGAGAACTACCAGGGCTGCTCCTGAGTGAGCTGCCTGACTCCTGTGAGCCTCAGTTTCTTGAGCTATCAAATGGAGACAGGGATAGTGTTTTCCCTAATGAGACTGTCAGATGAGAAGATGAATTCTGATGGCCTGAAGTACTCAGCGACACTGCGAGGAGTGGGCACCATGATGGCAAGCATCAGAACACTACCTGCTCCCTGATGCCACCGAGTCCTCACCAGATTCCATTGCTAACTCAGACTCTCTGGCTACCAAGGTGACAGGACCGCTTTGCCTGGACAGCCATGCCCTTTTGGGGAAGATGAGATTCGAAGGAAATTGTTTACATTAGGCAGAAATCTGTCTGCTTCTAGAGTTGCCTGTTTTTCGACAATTTGATTGCCAATTCAGCAAATAAAAATGCAGGATGGCCTCGCAACATCTGGGACACTTGACCTAAAAACTTACATGTCTGAAATCAAAGTCGAGCTGGGTGGCCTGTTTGTATTTGGCCACCCTTCCCATGGGCCTTTGACTCCTGGGGACAGTGGCCAACTCATCTTGCGCCTTGTACCTGAACAACGTCTCTAAGCCCTTACAGACCACTTGGTTCTCGGCTCCCCATCCCCTTGCACGTCTGGCGCCAGGACCTGCTGCTCTGGTCTGGGTTGTTAGGCCTATTTTACAGCTCACGAGGACAGCCCAGTGAGGTCAGAGCAACCCCGTGAAGCCATCTCCTGTGTTTTAAACCGGGCACTTCTGTTAATGCATTTTTGGTTTTAATTTCTCAGCATCCACATGATACTGCTGGCTCTTAATAAGTTAGTACTGCTACAGAGCCAACATGAAGGTCGGTACATTTGTGGCTGTCTTCAGTGAGACCCAGGATGCTGGGGAAACCCAGGAACCTGGTTTGGTCAGATTAAAATAAAAACAAAAACCTGCACACTTCACCCGCACAGCTCCAGAGCATGTGCTAACCCGCACCCAGGCCCCCTGAGGACCCACCCCTGGGAGACTCTAAGTTTAGGTGGGGGGGGGCGCACCTGCTTTCCTGGGTGGAGGGGCTGCTTTGGGGTCAGAAGGGGAGAGGCTCCCTGCAGAGTGGCGGGTCTCGGGTGCTGGGAGTGCTTGGGCTTCCTGCCGCGGTGGGGTGGGCTTGGGGCGTGGCTGCTGGGCACTGGCCTCCCGGCCTGGCTGCGGAGGGGTGGGTTCTGTGCCTGGCTTCGGCTGCACAGCCTTGGAGCTGGGCTGTGCGGCCTCTGAGCTGGGCTGTGGAGTCTCTGAGCTGGGCTGCGCAGCCTCTGAGCTGGGCTGTGTGCTGGAGTCCGAGCTGGTCTGCTGGGACATGGACTCCCGGCGGCGCCTGGTCTCGCTCTTGGCCTTTTTCTTCTTAACTTTCTTCATGGTGGGGCTGCCCAGTTAAACATGTGCCTCCATGGGGCTGCCTTGTCTCCGGCTCCCTCCCCGAGGGGCCACCCACGCTCTGTCCTCCGGGTGGACAGAGGCTCTGGCCTCTGAGTGGACCCAAGTCTCACAGGGCACAGTCACCCACACCTCCTGTGAGGTCACAGAAGCCAGGTGGTTCCCATGGCTGGGGCTCCATGGAGGGTTCTCTGCAGGCCACACCACCTGTGTCCTTCCTCCTCCTAAGTTGCAGGGATGGGCAGAGGATGTGAGTCTCCCTGTCCCTTGCAGGACAGGCTAAGCCTGTCAGGGGCACATGTGACCACTGGACTCCAGGATTCTGTGACCCAGGAGCCAGGGCCAGGTACCTTTCCCTGTTGTGCCTCTGGGGCCCCTTGCACTTCCTTTTCACTATAAGAAGCCTGGCTGGGACACTCAGCTCTGCCGTTGATTCCCAGATACAAAAACAAAACCCTAGACAACTGTGATCTCAGGCATTCAGGAAGGTGCTGAAGATTTGGGCTTCTCTGAGCACTTTACTTTCCACAGACCAGAGCTCTTTCCGTCTCCAATCACTCTCCATTCCCCCAAAGCTGGTCTCCCCCACTGATGGAGGGGAACTTAGGACATCCCTACTGCACTAAATCCTTGTCCTTACCACCAACCTCTCCAGTACTATCTACCAGCTGCTCAGAAAACAAGATTTTCTCAAACTCATGACATCTTCAATACAGACAATAAACTCTGAAGCCCCATCCTGGTCAGGTCAAATTGACTATAAAGCTTTCTCTAAATAAATAACATGGTTTCCATTTCAGAGTGGAAGAAGGAAAAGTATTTTGATAAGACTAAATTTCACATCTTGCAACATAAAACATGCTCCCAGGAAGGGAGAAAACTTCCAGCACAAGCACATCCAGTGCATGTGAGCTGTTAACCCTGCCCCACACCCTGCAGCTGGCTGAGGGTGTGACCCTTTCTAGGACAAGATTTGGGGACCAGCCAGCTACATAGAAAGGACTCCAAAGGGTCTCCACACAAGGCCAGGCCCATTGTCAACAGTGAAGTGACAGGACCTATTTGGGGGCTTCTAGAATCTGCAGAAAGTTTGATGATGATTTTTTGTTTTCCCTTTTGAGACAGGTTTTCAGTGTAGCTCAGCTGGCCTTGAACTCACTACATAGCACAGCTTAGCCTTGAAGTTAAGCTTCCCGAGTGTGGCAGTGTGCACCACCAGGCCTGGCCACTGTAATCTTTTTTACAAAGAAGAATGCTGATGTTCAGGGAAGTTAAATTTTCTAAGGTCACATGACTGGCTGGGGCATGGACAGGGCCAAATTCTAGTCCAGGGCTCTTTCCCTTCATGATCCCAGAAGACAAGAGGGAATCAGTTATATAGATCTGGAGATGAATGGAAAAAATCCCTTGAATGGGAAGATTGAAGAAAACAAAGGCACGAACGGTTAGCAGGGAAGGGAAGCGTGTCTGTGCTGCTGGATTCTATTTGGCTGACCTTGAAGTAAGGAGTGAGGAAGTGGAGGGAACAGGTGAATCTGTAAGGAAGAATAATTCCAAGGTCAAGAGCAAGGTGTCGGGCTGGTGAGATGGCTCAGTGGTCTAAAGCACCTACTTAGAACAAGCTTAGCAAAGCATAGGCACAGAACCGCGGTTCAATCCCCCAGCACTACATGCCAGCCAGCCCCACCCCCTGGTGGGCTGAGCTGGCCACACACACACACACACACACACACACACACACAAATAAATAAATAAAATTTTTAAAAAAACAATAAAAAAAAAGAGCAAGGGGTCATTCGCCACTCAGGCCTGGGACCCACTGGGATTAGTCAGACAGGCCGGGCACTCCGAAGACATTCATCTCTGCAAACCTGGATATCTGGGCAGCAGTTGGCTTTGATTAGGATTTCTACCTAGTTTAAATCAGGGTTTCTTAGCCTCAGCCCTACCAACATTTAGGCTGTACAGTTCCTTGTTGTGGGTTGTCCTGTGTGTCACAGGAATTTCAGCAGCATCTCTGGCCTTGACTCACTAAAGCCCCCTGACCCCATGGCAACAAAAATGTCTCCTGACATTGTCCTGTGTCCTAGGCCAGTGGTGGCAAAGTCACAGCACATGTATTGTGGCTGGCTGTTGTATCACTGAAAGCTTTAAAACATTATTGTTCCATTCTGGGGGAGGAGTGGATGTCAACATTGCCCCTGGATGATGAGCCCCTGGTTTAAATGAGTCAGACATTGGCAGAACTTCTGGGCAGCCTCGAAGAGCTGCCATTTCATCTGAAGGAGAGAAACAGCTCGAGGCACAGGTCTCTGTTTCCAAGAGGGAGGTGGTAGAAACACCCGGGGCACAGCCTTCAGGCTGGGTGCTGCCCAGATGCAGGAAGAAGCAGTCCAGGGACAGAGGTTGTCCCAGAAGAATGCAGAACGGCATGGCAACAGCTCTTCCCAAGGCGCCTTCCATGCCCACTGCCTCCTGCCAAAGAGCCCATAATGTGGCCATTGGCCACTATCCCAGGTTGATCAGTCACCATGCTGCTGGCTGCGTCCAGCACTAGTCAACTGTGAGGCAGAGGTCCAGAGGGCCTGGCCCTAGCTCAGGCCTTTAAGTGGCTGCTTCCACAAAGCTGTCAGCCTCAGGTTGCTGGAGTTCGAAACTCACAACTCTCCCGCTGGCCAAAAGTGCCCTGAAGGCGTTCGAGGAACAAAAAAAAAAAAAAAAATCCTTATTCCAGAGGTCCGGCAAACACAACCTGCTCTTTCTGTCACCCCTAGCTCTGTCCAAATGCTTCCTATGATCCAGACCTCTCTCAAAGGGACTTGCCCCTCATGAAGAATGTCTCTAGCGATCCAGGACAGAAGCCAGCTTTCCCTTTGTGAGCCGTGGAGTCTGTTCATAGGACACTGTGTTCTGAACAGTCTGGGGCTGGGGGGACAGGAAGAGCCAGCATCTAGCAGGGGCTCAGTGCATGTTGCTTGAACTGAACGAGGGTGAGGCAGGCTAGCTAAGTGTAACAGGAACAGGCACCTGAGAGACTTCATCACCAAGAGGCTGGGTCCACAGATAGCCTGGGATGCATTTGATCTTGGCTGAGAGTCACAGTTGGGAGAGCCTGTGGGTAGGGGCCTCCCTGACCAGGAGCGCTGGCCTCACCCAACTGCGGTAGCCAGCTGATGGATAGACAAGAGGATGAGCCTTGGGCACCGGAAGTTCAGGACAAGCCTCAAGGGCTGGGAAAATCCCCACAGGACAGGCTCTGCTTCCCTTCTGGACACCCAGCACAGGCACCTTGCCATTTGTCCTGAAGCTGGATGGCATCTCAGACATCAGCGGTCCTTCACCCTCACCTGTTGCGGAAAGGACACTTGCTCTGGTCACCAGGTAGAGGGGGCTGAGCTCACTGCTGGGCTTTGGACCTCACACTCAACTTTCTCGGATGGGCTCCGTTCTTTTGTGAGCACTCCCACCTGATGGCCACAGGGCTGGATTCCTTGCTAGAAGGCCCAGGAGCACTGCTGTGATAACTCTGAGGCTGAGGCAGGGGAATTGTAAGTTTGAGTCCAGCCTGGGCAGTTTGGTGAGATAACTGTCTCTAAAATAAAAATAAATAAAAAGGGGCTTAGGACGTAGCTTAGGAAGGCTTTTGAGTTCAACCTCCAGCACCAAAGGGACAAATTGCTGCATCTGGCTCCAATAAGCCACCTGTGAGGGCCAGAGAAGGCTTCCAACAGTGCCGGCTCGCAGGCGAACTTTATGCTGTGGGAATTATTCCAGGGAGGAAGAGGCGAAAGAACCAAGGGAAGTCCCGGCCAAACAGCTCAGCGGATTAAAGCGTCTGTTTAGGCAGAGGCAAGGGGAGTTGATCCCTGGGCCTGCTGTGCCGGCCCCACCCCCGGGGAGCGCTGAGACGGGGAGTGGTGGCTTGTAATCCTAGCACTTGGGAGGCTGTAAACAGAAGGATCAGTATGATTCCGATCTATGAAGTGAGACTCTGTACATTCCTCTGTACACTCCGTCCTAAAAAAAAAAAAAAAAAAAAAGGAAGCCTCCATCCGTGTGAGGAGGCGGTGGCCCGCGTTTCTAGGAGCCTCAATCGGAAACTGACACAAGGGCGACTGGCAGCCGTGGGGGTCCACACCCCAAGCGGTGGGTGGGGCCGGCGAGTGGGAGGCGTGGCCCTCGGAGTTAGGTTCAGGGCAACACCTAAAATCGCCGGAGCACACACACAGGGGAATAGGAGGGGGCGCTCATCTGCACTCCACATGTACCCCCACCCCAGAGGCCGAGGTGAGGGAATGCGGCTGTTTTCGGGCAGCGCAGGGCCAGGGCAAGGACTCTGGACGGCGGTCGCACGTTCCTGCCCCGCCCTCCGGCCCCTCACCATCTGTCTGGGTCTCTCGATCCACCCGGCAGACCCCGGGCACCTGGCTGGCGGCGCGCTGCACGTCCAGTGTGCCCTGAGCGCGACCCGGGCGGAACACGGCCGTGTGCACCTCGGCGGCAGGGCCGTGCAGCCCGAAGACGCTGCAGAGCAGGCTTTCCAGGCGGCGGCGCGCCTCGGTTTCCTCCTCAGGCTGCGGCTGCACGACGACCCCGAGGAGCGCGGCGGGCGGGCGACGGTACCGGGCGCGCAACTTGGCCAGCAGCAGCTGCACCCTAGGCAGTTGCGTGCAGAGCGCCCGCGCGCCGCACAGCACGAGGAGCAGGTGAGCGCCCTGCTCGGTCGAGCCCGGGCTAGCAGGCACAGCCTTGGGCGCCTGGGGCTCGCTCGGGTCCGTAGGCTCCGGCGCTGGCTCCGGCTTGGCGCACCGCGGCTCCTCCGCTGAGCGCTTGGTCTTGGCAGCTGGGCCGTGAGAGCCGTCCGCCGCGCTGTCGCCCGAGCGCTTGAGTGCTCGCTTGGCGCAGTCGCTGGAGCTGCTGGGACGGATGGTGTCGCGGCTGGACGAAGGTCCGCCTAAGTCCTGCAGGGTCGCGCAACACTCGTCCTGCTTCCAGTGCCCGCCTATCAGCAGCACCTGGCCGCGACCCTCAGCAGATGGGGCCAGAGTGTCCTCCTGCTCCTCAGCGCACTCCTCCTGCGGGGCCCCCGAGGGCTGCGCCCCAGTCGGC